GCGTCGGGGCTCTTGAGTGCAGGTGGCCGGCGGCGCGTGCCCGCCTGGCGCAGCTTTGTCTCATGGACGCGACCTGGAAGACGGATCTTATCGGAGCTCGCGCCCCACTCGTGGAGCGACCAGGAACAGACAGGGAAGGAGGATGCCCGGAACCTGGTTCCCTGCTTCCTGGTGCGGAGAAAATACGGCCTTAGCCCGCGGCACAGAAACCAGGGAGCCGGGAGGCCCGAGCAAAAGTCAGCGCGCTGCTCCTCATGCTTGCTTTGTCTTTGCAGCATGATATGAATCGCCCTGAGTCTGCTACACACAACGAATAGAAAACTCGATCCAGGGACCCAAGAAAAGAAAACGTGAGGGATAAGGGGAGCCATGTGGAAAGTGCTGCAAATACTGGTTATGAAGTCTGATTTCTAGCCCAGACTTCTACCTGTGCTTTCTTTTCCACACCAGAGGCCTCTGACAGGCAGACGTTTACCTGTGCCAGGACAAGCTAGGTTCCACAGAAAACACAAACCACTGTGCTTTCCACCTGGTTTGCGCGCCAAAGACAGCAGGACGTGGTCCTTGATGCCCTCGTCAGTCAGTGAGCAGCGCAACCTCTCGCGAAAATCCCCAACTGCCGGTTACCTACAGTTTGCAGAATTAGCAACTCAGATGTCACCCTTTTTCTAGCCAAGCAGCGGGGTTTTGTTTTTGTCATAGGTATTATTAAAGTTGTCCCTTAGGATCCTTAGGGATACCATTCAGGGCCTGTGTGGGTACTAAAATCAGAGAATGATCAAGCCCCGTACATAAAGAAGCTCAGTTGTACTTGTGTATAACCTACGCAAGTCCTGACGTATGCTTTGTCATCTCTACATGTAATACATATAATACTGTACACATAGTTGTCAAACCGTTGCTCAAGGAATCACAAGAAAGTTTATATATATCCATTACAGATGCAAATTTTTCCGAATATTTTCCATAGGAAGTTAATTCATTCCATATATGCACCACCTGTAGTTACAAATGGCAGATATTGTACATGCCTTCATATAAATGGAGAAATCATTACCGCTATGTGAAATTATAGTACTAGTAATTTCTCCTTTGGGATTCCTATATTGCTTTTTATTTTTCCCACTACCATTAAATATTGATCTTTGAGGTCATTATTTTCCATGATAAGGATGAGCAAACCAATATAAAAACACACTGAGGATGGTGAAGTGTTGAAATCCTAGAAAAAGAAAATTTATTCACCACAATTAAGGAATAGCGCTTGCCTGTTACACAGGATATCAACTGAGGTTAAAAAATGAGTTATTCACAAAAGCTGAAATTTTAAGACGTCCAATTAATGGACTCGGGCCAGCGTTATCTTAGTATCTTGTAAGAAATGCAGATTATCAGGCCTGTATGAGAAATTGTGCAACAGACTATGTTCTAACAAGCCTTCCCCGCTTCATGAATATGGGCAGGCCAGAGTTGTGGATATTAAGTTGCTAAGCTTTGTGCTAGGAAATGAGAAAGAACAAAACGAAGTAGTTCAGTAATCCTTAAATTAGTAATGATGTACCGCTTCATACGGCGGCCTGTCTTATGACAGGTTTTTCTGAGTTACGAGATAATCAAAGAACCTACTGTGTAACAAGTACAGCATCTCCAGCGAATTTTCACACCTTTGATGCTTTGAAATCTATAGTGTGTTAGCATGCCAGTCCTCCTACTGCCCAGCCATCACAACTATCAACTGGAATACATGAACTGACAGGATATTACAAGCTCTTGCTTAATTTTCACTCATTCTCTAATTGTTCGAATAGCAGCTACCTGAGAGCCCAGGTAAGGGTTACTAACCTAGAATTAACTTTTCAATGAAAAAATGTAATTCTTAAAGATTAATATTTACTGTAGTCTAATACCTATTAAACATTGAGTTGTTTTCTAATTAATTTTAGGTGTATGTATCTATAAAAATTATGACCTATGGTCTTTTTAGCTAGCCCAGCTCTAGGTATCCTTGACACATACCCTTGAACAGATCTTTACCTTACAAGGAAGAACACTGGATTAGATCAGCTCACATCTTGTCCATTTCTAAATCAACCTAGTAAAGTTCATTTTTTAACTTTAAAGTGGATATGGCACTTTTCATCTAAAGAGATTACCACACATTTTTATATGGTATTTCCAAATATTTTATATATTTCTATCATAATATTTTCTATTATAATATAATGTTATAATACCTGATGCCCATAAATTAAGAAAGGAGAGTTTTATCTGGGCTCATGGTTTGTTGAGGTTTTAAAGCCAAGGAGTTGCAGTGCAGGCAGCCTGGCAACAAAGGATGAGGGAGAAAAACAGCAAAAACAGGCTGTGGCGCGTAACAGGAACCAGTGGGTGATCGAGATTGGAACCAGGAGATACACTCTTCCAGTCCGCACCCACAGTGACCCACCTCCTCCACCCCGGCTGCATCTCTCAGCTTCACATTTGGCTATAAATCCATCCATGGAGCAAGCTCCTGGCCCCTCCCACCTCACCGGGCCCCAAGGTCCTCCTGACACTTCTGCCTTCCTGGCCGACAAGGAAACGCTGTGATCGAAGAGGTGGACAAAATATCGGGGGGATGCCTTTTCTGCAGTTACACTGCGCTGACATTTGCATTCACCCTGCGGGGCTATCTGATTTTCCTTGAAACCCCCATGAGGAGCCTTGGGTGAGTTCTTCTGTTTTAGAAGAGACAATATCACATTAAGTGTGGTGGATGACTGAGGACCCTAAAGGACATGAGGATCTAGAAGGATCCTAGATACATCTGCACTCGGCTTTTCTGTACCTTGGCTCCTTTATGTAATAGTAGCCCATGGCAGAAGTAGAAGAGAAAGGAAATGAATGGTTTCAGAGAAAGGGAAGTGGGGGAGTCAGGATGGCTAGGATTCTAGTTTATATTTCCTTTGTTATTACACTTATGTATCTCTCGTGTCAGGAGCATTTTAAACACCACTTGTAAAACCTTCTAAGATCCAACTGATATTGGCCTTTTCCATGTCGGGAATCCAGCACAGTAGCTAATTCAGGTTACTTTCTCTGGTCTGCCCAAGAGTCTACCTGTTACTCCTTCACCTTCAAATGCATGTCATGTACTAATCTTTAATAGTCTGGAATAATATACAAGGATTAAGTGGGGCTCTCAGTAGAGGTTATAGGTAAGTGAAGTGTGAGCTTTAAATACTTCAAAAGCTTTGCAAGTAATGTAGCTAGGGAAGGGAAGGGGGAAAAGGTGATACAGGATAGGTTCAGGAGAAAGTTATCATTGTGAACAGCTGGGGTCCAGTACCCCTGGAGAAATAGCACAGACTCCACTGAGAGCTGTCACCCCCGAGGGACAAAGAAACTGGGTTTTACTCATCAACTCTCGTCTATCCTTAGTGAGGGCTGCTCCTGGAAACCCATCCTCTCCGACACCCGCACACTTCTGAGCGCAGCTCGAGCATCTAGAGAAAGCCCTCCAACAGGGTCAGCAGTGCGTGCGGTAAGAGGTCATCCATGTACACAGGACAGGCCAGCGGGAGGGAGTAGGCACCTCACACTGAGAGCGTCTGCCTTGCGCAGATTTGAGAAGGCCTAGGAGAAGACCTTATTTCTGAAGCCAGATGTGGTGGTCCACACCTGTAATCCCAGCACTCTGGGGGGCTGAAGCGAGAGGACTGAAAGTTACAGCCCAGCCTGGGAAGTTTAAGTGAGACTCCGTC